TCACATATTTTACTCCAAATCATCAAACTGTTTGCTTCTTTTTTTTAATCAAATTAATTTTAAATGTAATTTTCACAGTGGTTTAAACTGTTTGAATAGGAGCCACAAAACACAAAAATATAAGAATCAACGGTGGGATAATCGGCACAGTTAATGGGTTTTTCCAAAACAGTGATCAGACTTGACATGGAAATAGGGATATTTGCTCTCATTTGCTCGCTTTTAAAAGTGTTTTACAGCAAGTGTAGCTGGGGAAATTCAAGATTACTCACAAAATAGTTGGAATTCTGCTGAAATTCTAGCACAGATAGAGTTTTCAGACTGATTTTAAGTTTCAGCCAACAGGTTATGTAAAAATAAACAATATTATTGTAAATTTGACATGTTTTCTCACCCTAAATTGTAAAACAGACAGTTAGGTTAGTGATCCATTCATTACATTAAAATGAAAAAAAGATAGCTGTAATGTTTGTTTGTTTGTTCTAAATTAAAAACACATTTCGGCGCATATCATATTCCTGTTAAATGTTTAGTTTATTCCTCTTTATCTGCTGCACCTTTACAGCTGTTGAATAAAAATCACTTGAATGGGTGATTGAATGAATACTTTATTGACCTCCAAGGAGAAATTAACTCCACAGAATTCCACACAGAGTGAAATAGAGCAGTCATTGTTTCTTTTCATCGTCAAAAGTCCAACTGATACCTCGAAATTATCCCAATTTGTTTTTGAACGATTCAAAATTAATAACGTAAATGTCCTAAATCTACAAAACACCAAATATGAAAACACATCAAGATTTAAACAATTACACTTAATGCAACTGAATGGAGGTAAACAGTGGAAATTTGATGAAAAATAGTGTTTTGAGAGGTTAGAAATTTCCCAAAATAAGCTATTTGAGCCTTTAAAGCTGCAGTTCTCATGTGGATGTGAAGTCTGTTTCCCACCTATTTCTGACTTTGACTTTACTACATGTAACATTCATACAAAATCTCTCATGGCTTAAGGAATGTTAATGAAAAACACTCATGTTGCGAACATGAGCTTTATGAGGAGGAGCTCCCACTCACCTTCCCACGGCCGGTGAAATTTCGGGCGGTTTCCGGGTTTTTCCCGCTCCAAATCCAGGATCCGATCGATGGAAAAGGAGTGCCCGATTTCTGCCGCCAGAGTGGATTCCATATTCAGAAAAGTTGCTCTGACAAGTCCCAAAAACGAAACACAGTGTGGCTCTGGGGCCTGAGGATGCTTTGGGCTGGATCTCCCTCAGACCAGCAGGACCACGAGATGGCGGGTGCCGGTTTAAATGGGGGAAGAAAAAGGGACTTCCACCGGCCACCAATTAGAAACGCAGAAGTCTTTTTCCATGAGAATGGGATTCCCTGAGGTTCCATGCAGCGGCTAATCTCTGCTAATTGGCTGTGCTGAAGACGGCACATTTAAATAAATTTCTCCTCCGTCCCGAACCAGAACTCTCACCCCCCCAAAAAAAAAAACAGAGCGCTTTAAAACATTTGCGTATACTAATGTGTGTGTTTTTCCCCCAGGTGACAATGTGTGTGAGAGATTAGAGACGGAGGCCATTTTGAAAAACTGCCACCATGACAGAAAAAAACAAAGCGAACCTGCCTCCCTTTTCTTCCGAATTACCAAAGTAGAACATCGGTTTTGGTTTTTTCACCCAGAATGCATCCGACAAACGTCTGCGACTGAGTCTGAAGTCATAAGAATGAGAATGATGGCGATAATAATGATCCAGTGAGATCCCCTAATGCTATTAGCCTAATCTGGGAGCGTTGTGATGCAGATGAAGCTCGTAGTGGGTGAATGCGGGGACCGAGCAGCGGGGAGGGAAACCTTTTCAGAGGCAGATTAGCTTTTAATGAAGGCCCGCGGCGGCTTTAAACCAACAGCACACTTGTTTGTTTATCCCCTCAATGGAAGGTGGGATGGAGGCCGATGGCCGCCTGCTGAGAAAACTCCTCCACAGCCTAACAGGTGGGAGAGAGCTGGGGGAGAAGCTTCACCTGGAGGGGTTCGGAAAAACTAAAGCGGATAAAGGCCCAAAGCTCAAACTTCTGGCTTTTTAGTTCGCCTCAGAAGATTGATTCTGCGTTTCTCCAGAAGATTCCGACTCCGTGCTTCGATTAAGCTGAGGTTTTAAAACTCTTTTTGGAAAATTTGGACACCTCTAGACCAAAGAGATGAAGGACCCGATTAATCAAAGGGGCCTAATTCCACCTTTAGGGGTCCAAAGACCTCACAAACGCCCACGTTTGAAAAGTAAGAGGTTCCTCTTCAATGGAAGGAGGCATTCAAATTAAAACTTTATTTCACATTTCATCGTTTTAGCTGAATTGAGACGGATTTAATCAGCTGGTTTTTCCTCCATTTTAACTTCATGAGCGTGACGGCGTGATGGAGGAACCAGCGTTCCAGAGTCCGTATGGTGTCCGAGTTTAAGACAAACACGAATTCATTCACCAATTCATTTACTAACTTTAATGATTTACACACTAAATCTTTTAAAAAAGAGCTGATATGTGTAATATTTACTTGGGGATGTATTTGTACCATTCAGGCCCTCTGGAAGTGTGAATTTGTGCCTCTAGTTGTCGGCCCTGTGGGGGAATGGGTTCAGAAAGCAGTTCAGGAGACACAGGGCTGATAAGTTTCATATTCTAGAAAGTTGGTTTGCATTAGGGTTGCTCCCCTTTTAACCTCGAGAGGGCGACTTTAGCTCCTTCAGTTTTCAGCTCTCCACACATCGATATTCGTCCGGCCAAAGAGGGACGAGTTTCTGACCGGAACAGGCCCAGAACATGGACCTGTGACTCCTATTCATCTTTGTTAAATAAGTACTTAGCACCGTTACAGAGAAAGAAGAAAAAGATTTATAGACATTTGCATTTTCATTTTTAAAAAAGACTGGCCGCTGCAACTGGATCAAACTCACTTTTATTCTGGCCACCAAGGAGAGCAAACGCTTATATTAACCTTTTTGAAAACAAAAAAATAAACAGCTGGAGCTTTTGATTCAGCGAAACGCATCGTTTTGAACGTGACATCGCGGAGGAAGTTAACAGTCCCGGAAAAAAAAGGCGAAGAGGAAGTAATCTCACAGCTCTGCAGAACGAAACATCTCCATGGCTTTCAGTCTGAGTCCCGATGAGCTTCCCTCTGCTGGTCGAACTGAATCCCACTTACAGCTTGGCCGTTAACTCATTGACTGCCAGCCATTTTCAGAAGTCCCATACTGCCAGAGTTTTTTGAGCATTTTGACTGATTTTTCAAGAGCCACATAGCATAATAGTTTGTGTTATGACTATGTAAATACCGAACACACCAAAAGAAAGAGTAGACTCTCTTCTTTCATCGGGAAAAAAAAAATTGTTTCTACCTTATTCCGTTCTTCCTCGACTTGCGTCTCACCGGCGACATGTTCTCTCATATCGAACCGTTAGCTTTTTCTTATTTGCCTACAGTCTATGCTCATCTCCCATCAAAAGTGGCACTGCCCCCTAGAGGGTAAATTTGTTACTACATACTCTGTCTAGAAGCCGATATTTACGGACAAGCTTTAGCAGATCGTCCCCCAAGCCACTCGCATTGAAAAACATAAAAGACGTCTACAGACGTCTTTGGCAGCCAATGAGTTAAGCACAGCTCGCATGAAGGCCTTCGCTCAGCATGCGATTACTGCCATCAACAGAGCCGAGATCCGAGAGGGAAAAAAGGCTTTTGGAACCTTGGTTCTGCCTTGAAAAACGGGACCCCAACAAGGGAGGCTTCTCGGCCTTTTATTCTGCTTGTTTAGGTTCACGACTCCGCGCCAGAGCCCTCGCTGCCCCCCCGCCCACCGGAGGTAAAGCTAGGAGCCGGCGTGGTCCCGGTCCCACACGGGTCTGGACACAAAGCGGAATCCTCTGATTGAGAAAGCCTCCCGGTCTCTGGGTCAGAGGCCTGGTACCGTACGTCCACCGTCACATAGGCCGGGCCTTCTGGCCCCGTGGAAACCAGACCAGCCGGGACCTGCTGGTCCCCCTCGGCCCCCCCCGCCCAGGAGGAGAACATCTCCCCGGGGAGAAGGGGAGCGCAGTAGGTCATGTTCTCGAAGCGGAGCCATTCGGGAGTGGTCCGGATTTCGTCCGTGGCCGGGGGGGTCTCCGAGCTGGACGTTAGGGGGAAAAGGAGACAGGGGGGTTGATAGGGGTTGCCAGGTTGGAAGCGGTTACCGTTTGGGGACGATCCCGGGTGTCTCACCCCGGTGGGTGGTAATCGGGATGCCCGGGGACCGCCGGGACTAAGGTGACGGGCCAGACGGCGGCTTCTGACGGAGGCAGCAGCTGCAACGGGGAAGCTCCAGACAATTACCACACCAGGAATCACCATGGAATCAAACCACGTTTTAAAAACAGAGAGGGAACCAGAAGAAAGACAAGCCTGAGTTGTTTATTCCTTTATCTTTACCCCCTTTAGATTTTCTTCTTTTGTTTTTCTCCCTATTATTTTTTCCTTAGGTTATTAGTATTGTGTTCTTTCATTTCTGTTTCCTTTTTCACCTTCCCTTTCTCTTTCTGTCCCTTATTCTGTCATTTTAACGTGAACTGGTAAACTCCAAACCGCTTACTTCCTGCCCAACTTGACCCCAATCCAGAAGCTCTGGGACTGGACATTTGGCCAATCGGTCGCACCACCCGGATTTCAGCCTGTTGTCAGATAATGAAAAAACAACAGTCAACGGGCCTAAAGATGGCCACTTTTAAAATTATATATATATATTTTTTTTATTCTACTTCCACCCTGAGCTTACTTCTTGTAGCAGAAGAAGGCGGCAGCGGGCAGCAGGACGGCGGCCATGCTGAAGCTGACCGCAGCAGCAACTGGAGCAGAGTGACCGCCGACAGCTGTCGGGGGGTAAAAATCATTTGGTTTCAGACTTTAAGGGATAGTTGTCCATTCGCAAATGTGTGAAGCTTAGGAAAAGCCCCCCAAAAATCAGCATTGTTGTTTCACCAACTGTCTCTAAATGTCAACTGTCCTAAAACTTCATGATCAGACATTCAACTGACGATGCGTGAGGATGACAGTGCTGATTATTTGCTGTGTAATTCCCTAACCCTTTCCCCTCAGTGTCGTGTGTGATAACCCGGCCGCAGACATGTCGTAATATTTCAACACAGCACCACCGACGGACTGTCACAACTAGGAGACTTCTCTAGAAAACTGCGGCTACTTCGCAACCAGATAGGACGAAAACATATTTTTTTAAAAATCCATCCATTTTCTGAACAGCTTATTCCCAAATGGGGTCGCGGGGGGACTGGAGCCTATCCCAGTAGTCAACGGGGGAGAGGTGGGGTACATCCGTGATGGTCTAGGGGGCCACACAGAGACACGCAAGGACCAACAACCACTCACACTAATTTCTAAGGGCAGTTTGAGTGTCCAATCAACCTAACATGCAGGTTTCTGGACGTTGGGAAGAAGCCGGAGAACCCGGAGAGAACCCACAGACACAGGAGAACATGCAGAATCCACCAAGAAAGGTCCTGGTTCCCCCGTGATCATCCCCCGTGATGGTGCCGACCACCGTGGCTGGTTAACGCCATGCCGCCGTAAATAAATAAATAAATAAATAAATAAATCAACAAATAAATGAATAAATAAATAAATCAATAAATCAATAAATCAATAAATCAATAAATCAATAAATAAATAAATAAATAAATAAATAAATAAATAAATAAATAAATCAACAAATAAAT